TACGAGTCGATGCATAGATTTTCGGAGGATGTAATTCAATGTTCTGCGTGGCATTAACTAGGAAAGTAATTGTTTTCCTCCCGAAATCTCCCATTGTTGTTCATTTTATGAACATTGTGTGGATATGACTTTGAGTTTGAGCTTTTTGTATTTATTTAACATTTCATTCCACTTTGAGCCTTGCGGCTATTTCTTAGTTGATATACAGTCTGTCCAAGATAAGGTTGAACAGCATGGGGATCTCGGAAACGGTAGGAGATACGAAGTCGCTTGAATGGGGAAAAAGTTGCGCATTCGGAGGCTCATATCAAGAGCCTTCGAAAATTTTGAAAATTATTTTTAGTTTTTGAGTTATATCGAAAAAAGTGAATTTTTGGAATTTCTATTTTATTTTTTTTCTCCGTTATTATCAGAGATACAGAAAAACTGAAAATACTTTTTCATTGCAACTTTTGATGAGGTTTTACGTGGTGATACCGATTTTTTTATGCGACGTTTCGTATTCGTGGAACCATCATCAACTTTTGTTTTTTAAATACGGTCCTGATAATTTTTTCACAGATTCTGAAAGTTTTTTTTTATTCTGAATTCAACAATGTACTATACAAGGTGATTCGAATGTGTTTCGACCTATTTCTATCCATCATCAATGTTTTTTCGAACTTCCAAAAGAAAAAAAGCCATCAGTTCCACTTATTTCTTATCATTTAGTGTCAAACTTGATGGATTAGTTATTCAATACTGAAAAGTGAATGATAAATATTTCACTACATCATTCGATCAATGCAGCGTTTAAAATTGTTGATGAATTCTTACACGAATTACTTTAACAACTTAACTTTGACAATACCTACAGAGACATTCATAACAAATGTTCAAAATGATAACCATTATTTTCTGAACAAAGATATCCTCTTTTCACAGTTGTTTCTAAGACATTGCTAAGCATTTCTGGGGTTATTCTATTGAATGCTTCGAAGACACTGTCCCTTGGTTCTTCTTCATCCTCAAAGTTATTTGCGTGTACAAAGTTCGATATATCCCCTAAGAAAAAATCCAGCTGTGTTAAATCAGGCGACCGCGCCGGCCAAGGGATAAAAACGCACGGACTTCTCTGGAATTATGTACCGGAGCGCCATCTTGTTGAAACCAACAGAGTTCTGAACTTCCGCAATCGGTAAATCATCCAGAGCTTCCTCAAGATGATTCTCAAGCGAATTTCTATAACGTTCGGAAGTCTGTGTTTCATGGTAAATAGAAGGAACAATAATTCGTGTACCAAATATTGCAACCCACATATTAAAGCCGAAACGGTGTTGGTGTCTCGCTGTAATGTATAAATGTTCATTTTCTCGTGAACAATAATGTGTATCTTTCCTATCGAAGCTACCATGATTATTGACCATGCTTTCATCAGTCCAGATGATTGTTCGAAAGAAATCTGCAAAATTTTAACATTTCCTGGTATACCATTCACAGGATGTCTTGCGCCTTTCGTCATCTCCTGGTTTTAGCGCATGACATATTCTGAATTTGTATGGATGGAATTTTTGTTTCCGCAAAATGAAATGGGTTGTTGATTGAAACCAGTTGATGAGGTATTAGTGTGTTGACTAATTTTCCTTCAAAATAAGTGGAACTGATGGCATTTTTCCTTTGGAGTTTCGAAAAAACATTGATGATGGATGGAAATAGGTCGAAACACAAATGAACCACCTTGTATAATACATGGTTGAATTCAGAATAAAAAAACCTTTTAGAATCTGTGAAAAAATTATCAGGACCGTATTCAAAAAACAAAAGTTGATGATGGTTCCACGAATACGAAACGTCGCATGAAAAAATCGGTATCACCACGTTGACCGTCATCAAAAGTTGCTATAAAAAAGTATTCTCAGTTTTGCTGTATCTCTAACAATAACGGAGAAAAAAAATAAAGTAAAAATTCCAAAAATTCACTTTTTTCGATATAACTCAAAAACTAAAAATAATTTTCAAAATTTTCGAAGGCTCTTGATATGAGCCTCCGAATGCGCAACTTTTTCCTCATTTAACCGATTTCGTATCTCTTACCGTTTTCGATATCCCCATGCTGTTCAACCTTATCTTGGACAGACTGTATACATACGTTCAACGGAATATTCCCTGAATGTGCTGGTGGGGGAGAATTTATATATTCCTAGAATGTTCCCAAGGGATATTCCCTTCATATTCAGAATGTACCAATAATATTCTAGAAATATTCAGATAATATTCGGAATATTCGAGGGATAGTACAGGAATATTAATAAATGGATATTCCTGGAATATTCCACTAGACATATTCATAATTAGAAAAAGCTGACCCAAGCTGGGCTCGAACTCGTGACTTTCAGATAGTCAGAGCAACGCCTCAACTTCGTGTTTCAAAATATTGATATATAATAATAAAGATGCGCCTGTATGGGCTCTAAACATGTACGATGATCTAATTGAGTAATTTGATCCCAATTAAAATTGTGGTTATGGCTTCCTGTTCCTGATTCCTGGTAACTAACCACTCCACTTTGAGATACGATGGATTTCTACCACATTTTCCTCATAATAAATGATTGATACTCGCATTATAAAATATAATATAGTGATTGGCGTTTATATGTACTGTACTATATATTTCATTGAAACACATGAGAATAATAATCATGGAATATTCCATGAATATATAAATCAGAATATTCAGTTGAGAATATTCCTATAATATTTATACCTGAATATTCCCTGAACAATCCATTTGGAATATTCTTGGAATATTCCTTCTGGAATAATTCGTGTATATTATTTTGGAATATTACAAGAATATTCAAATTTGAATATTCTTCGGATATTCCAGAGGCACATTTATATTCTAAGAATTTTCGGGATACACGCATCTTCTCTTTTAGCATATTTAGAGAATATTCTAGGAATATCCAGAGCTGTCTGTGATACTGTTCTCATGTATAAGGTTCAGCATACAAACATACGCTGATTCTCTCAGATTTCATCCAGAGAAGAGTCATTCGCCGGGTGGGTGATGTCATTCGCCGGGTGGGTGATGTCATTCGCCGCAAAAGAAGCCTCTTTCGTATAGGGTGTAAGCACTTTGTATACCATTACCATTACTCAATTAACACACAGGGTGAGTCAAAAATTAAGAATAAATCATGGTTCGACTTATTGCACCACCATCAAGGAGGTTTTGAAAAAATTTTCACATCTTTATTTTTTTCAAAAGGCAAATGCATTACCTACCAACAAATAAAAAGAAATCGGCCAATAATTTTTTTTTTTCAAGAAGATAGGACAAATATCAAGTGCGTCACTTTTTTTGGAACTGAGTGTATGTTTATTCACATGTGCAGTATACAGAGCCGCACATTTAAAACTTGTCTGTTCATTGTCGACTGAAACATTTTCATTAGCTTTTCGACGATTCATTGCTAGGAGAGGTCGGTCTTCTATTACACGGATAACGGAACAAATTTTGTTGGGACGGAATATTCCTCGATCGGAAGAAAATTGAGCAGGAAAGTATGATACTCAGAATCAGATTGGAATTCAATCCACCTATGGCTGCTTGTTGACGTGGATGGTGGAAGCGTTTCATCAAGATTTTGAAACAACTATTGCGAAAACAACTTGGAAAATCTTGATCAACATATGAGGAGCTGTCTTCAGTCGTCTCCGATTGTGAAGCTATTGTGAATTCAAGATCATTATTATACATCATACATCGGAAAAGATTATGAACATATTGTTACGATCACTTCGTCGATGTTTCTACATGACGTAAAAGAAATTGGAACTTATAATTCGGATGAGATTGATGCTACATCTATGAAACGACATTAGAAATATTTATACAAAATTAGATGTGACCTGAGAAGATTTGAGCCAGCTATTTTTATGGAAATCAAAGAATAATCCTAATGTTGTAAAGCAAGGATACATGTTGATCGGAAACAAGGATGTCAAAAGACTTGATTGGCGTTTAGTTATTATCGATGAAATATTTCCTGGAAGAGATGGAAAAATTCGATCAGTACAACTCCGACCAGCAAATGGAATATTACTGGGACAACTACAGAGATTGCATCCCCTAGAAGTCTATCAAGAGGATGACCTTAATTTGGTATCTAAAATTGAAGAGTTCTCTTGAACCTCTCAAACAAGCATCAGAGCTAGAATGAGGAGAGAAACTTACCTAAGCCTATTAGACCATGTGAGGTAACTCCAGTGGTGATGACAAGAACTGGTAGTTACTTTGTATAGAATTCAGAAGACAATGCCCTGTAGGATTTTTTCACCATGACAAAACAATTTTGAACGTCATAATGAATTAATTAGAATTTTTGTATAGATTCGTCAAACTGTATACTTTTGGTTCAGTAGAGTTATTTGTACTCAAATCATCCGATTATCCATTGATACTCGTCTTTGTATTTCCCGTCAAACCGATACGTATCTCTACACCGAGTAGGTGTAGTCATTTCAAAATACAGACGCTGGCGAATATCAACAGAAAGTTTTTGGTGAAATGTCAGCATTTCAATGTCCCATTCTCATCCAGAGAAATCATAATATGAATTATGTAAGACTATTCATGAAATACTGCCAATCCAAGACGGTGAATGAGACTGTTCAGAAAACGTTATTACTGACTTATTTGGAGGAACATCTGAGACTGAAGTCATCAAGATGAATTTAAATTATATTTCAAATCAGAGAAGTTATACAGGGTGTTTCTCAAGTACGTGTAAGAAATTCAGGAGCATGTTGCTGACGTCATTAAACCTCGCTGACAAACCTAACTTTCAATTAATAGGCATTTATTAACCTTGAACAACAAGAAAATTTCGCCTGCGGCGCTTCATTGCTTTATGTCATCCTCCAACCCCCACACCACGAATTCCCCCCATGGGACAAAGCTATATACGCACCTGCTTCCTATCAATCAACATCAATCAAATCCAGGTAATTACTATCGAAAAAATAATTTATTCTCATGTATATGCAATTGTTCACAATTTTAGTAATGGAATGTTGAGCTATGAACTTATTATACTTTCTATGAACATGAACACTGTGCATTGTCAGAAAGCTTTCAACCATAGGCATATGAGAGTGAAGTTGCATAACTTATGAATGCAGGATTCAAATATGACTGAAATCACTGAGGTACTTTCTGATATTGAACCTAACAGTCCTAGAAATTTCCTGTATAAAATCAAAGTTCACATTACATTTATATTTTTGGCCATCCAGAAAACAATTATCTGAAACAGAACTCAACAATCTCAACTCCACCAAACTCGAAACTTGAACGAGAAGATTATTATTGAACCCGACTTTCTCGTCTAAGATGGAGTAAAAAATTGCCAACAGTCTGTCAAAGGCGAACGGTTTAGGACCCAGCTGCGTATTCAACTGTTCAGAAACTTTACTCTTCATCTTTACGTCTTTGAGTTTTTTCATCTTCTTGCCGTGAAACTTCATAAACAGTCTCTTATCGTCCTTCGCGGAATTATAACTGGCCAAGTAGGCCGCTATCAGTAAATATTTAGCGTAGAAAGGCAACTCCAAACTCTGAGCTGAAGTTTCTTTAGAGCCAACGGAATGCTTCACAACTTGATCAGTTTGGTTCGAGGTATCGATTCGCAGATATAAAACTGCCAATGAGCTTTTCAAGGTAGGAGCGACGTTTTTCCACAGGGCCATCTGGTCTTCCACAGTATTCTGCCCGGTTATTATAGGTTGACAATACTTGACGAAGTTGATTCGTGACATGTATTTCAGCTCTGATAAGTCTCTACAAGCTCTATAAAATACTGAAAGAAACACGTTGAGATAGTTCTTGTAAAACTCTAAGTCGAAATCTATAGAGTGTTCGTACTCGTTTTCTACTATCCTCCTAGCATTTTCGATATCCATAGAGAGGATTTCCAGTAGTTCGTCTTTGTTGTACTGAGGAAAATCTATCTTCATTGGATCGACTATGTTAGCTTTTGAAAGAAACTTTTGGAATACCAGTTCGGATATGAGAATGACCGAGATAGGAATGCCGCTGAGCTCTTTCAATCGCATGAATGCTGGTAACAAGTTGAACTCCATGTTCCTCAACTCTTCAGCTTTGTCGAGCACTATAACTGAGCCAGTGAGATCGTCTTCCAAAGAGTAATTCTTCAAGTGCTGTAAGAAATCCATCATATTCTCACATTTAGCGTACGGTACGGGGTTTTTGGGGTCCATCCTGTGTCCCGACAACTTGTTCAGGATGGTCTCGAACAGAATTTTAGCGGTATAACATTCGACTAAGTTGAGAATGGCATGCTTTAGTTCGAGCTTTTCCAGCAAGGTCGTGACCACAATCGATTTTCCAGTGCTTGGACCGCCCTGAATGTAGACAGTCTCCGGGTGAGGTTCATCTTTATATGCAAACAGATTATGGAGATGGTCTATTTGGGTGGCTCGGCATGGCAAAGTCTGATGCAAAAGGGATAGAGTTTGATCCATTCCGAGAGGAGTTTGCGGTTCTGAAAAGAGATATCGGATTTAGATTCACAATCGGAGATTAATAACAGAAATCGGATTTTCAATAGTTATATTACGATGTTCTGAGAATTCTACATAATTCTGTCGTGTTGATGAATGAATTTTCCTCGACTTTCCTCGAATCGAGTTCGACGTTTAGGAAGGTAACACTTGCCATTTTATTCGTCTATACGAATTATTGTATAGATTTCGGGAGGATGTAATTCAATGTTCTGCGTGGCATATAGCCAGGAAAGTACTTGTTTTTCTCTCGTTATATAACTACCAATTTAGTTCAGTTATGAACATTTGTGGAAATGACTTTGAGCTTCGCGTATTTTTTCAACATTACATTCCACTTTGAGCATTTTGGCTTTTTTTAGTTGATGGTAAAATACGGATAGATGCCGCACTTTTTGGAAAAAAAAACTCGAGTAACAAAAAATATGTATTTCAAAAAACATACGATCATTCTTTCATCTATTTTTCATTGAAATATTGGTCCAGAACAACATGGAAGGAACTACAAAAAAAAATAGCGAAAAAAATAGTTTTATGGCAACTCTCCCCCCCCCCCAGGTACGGAGAGATGCCTACAGGTATGCGGAGAGATGCCCAATGTTAATTCCCATAAGGGAGAGATGCCGCAATTTATTGTTGTAGTTCTGCATGTTTGCATGGGCTGCATCTTATGCAGAATATCCAATCTACTGTCTTGAAGGTTTCACTGTGATCCTCAAAACATTCCACGCGAAAAAATTGTTTTGTCAGTAACTTGCTTGGCAGACTCGGGATTTTGGTTTTCCTTCAAATCGGATAAGGCAATCTCATCTTCGCTGTCGGATGTGAAGTGATTCGATGTTCTATGATCGGTAAAATATAAAATTATGCTATTTTATTATTGAAACTTTTGTGGCATCTATCCGTATCACAAAGTGCGGCATCTCTCCTTTTTGATACGGATAGATGCCTCATCACCAGCCTACGCCTGCGCCTTATGACTCTGTAGCCGAGAATACAAAACGAAATCTTGATTATGCCCTATATAACGCTATAAAAGTCCAATTATCCCATTTTGTTATTTTAAACTCTCTTCCCCAATACTATTAACAACATACAAATAAATATTAAGCAATAAAAGTACATCTTAGCAACTTTATTCCCACAATTCAAGTTAAACACTTGCTCAATCGAAGCATCCACCGCATGCAAAACAATAATGGCCGAATAGCTCTTCCATCCCGCCGAGAGTTGTTGTCATGTGTACATAGTTTTCGCGTCACGTGGTCTGCGGCATCTATCCCCCCGCGGCATCTATCCGTACTTTACCCTATTTGATATTTAGCTGAATAGAGAATTTCCAGGACCTGACGTGGTAACATCCGTTTTTCTTCAATGTCAACAATGTACATTTTTTTCTGGTCATTCAAAATCACATAGAAGATTTTGAATACCTTTAATACAACCCGGGAGGGGATATTTTCGACATAAAAAAATTAAATGGATTCCTAAAGTCAAGACCTGAAATTTGTGGAGCTGATTGTATGGACATTTTCTGCCGATTCTATCAAAACGTTTCTGAAATATCGTTCATCAAAGTTTTGCTCCGAATTCAAATAGGCATAATAACGAATAGGCAAAAAAAAACAGGTTATTATATTGTTTTTCTGCAACCGACACAAAAGTCGTCCATTTTGATACCAAAATTAGCTCTTAACGTTTCTATTACTGACACAAAAATAGATATGTTGCTAGGCAACATATTTAGTTCCTAAGAACTAAAAAGGATCTACTGGACGTCATCAAGAATAAACAACATTGTGACGGTTGGTTATTTGGGTTGAGACGCATACCTGATTCGTTTCCGAATTCAGCAGATTTGGCATTTCATACCCATGCTGGAGATATAAATACACCTTATTATCGCTTATTATAGTTCAGTACTGGAATTATAAACATCTCAGTTAAGTATTTTTGTTTCGATCAGGGAAGCCTTCAAGATTCCAATACTTTCATGATCTGTATTTCATTCGTTATTCTCGGGATGGATAACTTGTTTTTGAATAATCACGGCAAGCAATAGTTTTTTTGTCTCAAACAACGATATTGTTTAGCTTCATTTGATTATCAAGTCAAACACAGTGTAGTATGGAGAGGAATAAATAATCACTATTATCATTGTTGATATGCTCACTAACCTAACATTTTCCACGTCTTGTTCCTATAGCTGGCACTGGCGCGGTATTTGCCATTAGAGCACCTGGTCCATACACAAATATGTCACTCTGTGGTTGTATTTATATTGAAACTACAATTCGAACATCCTAGAAAACCTAACCTGCTGTTAATGCAGGTAGAATATTCTCACCACATGGATTATTTGTCAATATTTGTTGCATCGCATACACATGGCACGGCATTGGTGGTTACTTCACATGTTTATTTGAGTTAATTTTTTCGGTTGCAGAAAAAATAGCATGTTTCATTCGGATCAAAAGTGACTTTGTTCGACTCGCAAATTTTGCTTTCGCTCGGCTTCGCTAAACGCTCCGCCTCGCAAATGCAAAATTCGCTTGTCAGACAAAGTGTCACTTTTGATCCTAATACAACAATCTACTATTTTACGGCTATAACACAAAATTGCTTTTGTTTTACTGTGTTCGATACATCAATGAGGTGCATTGTATGTCACCAATTTTATTTCCGTATCTGATATCACAATGACTTCATAGTTCATTATTTGATGAAAATCTCATCGCCCATGGAATGTCAAATTTGCAAGCAATGACAGCTCTGTCTAATAAATTAGTAAAACTTTAGAGAAAATCAGATGGCTACTAGCTGAAGATATACAATATCTCGGTGTTATCTGTTACAGCCGTAGAAAAATTATAGTGTATAACTCGCACAAAATGCTAATTTCCCACTCGTATGCGAACTTCATTCTCGTGAAAAATCGCTATAATTCCGTGCTCGTTAAACAATATACCTACAGAATTTAGAAGAAAACATTGTCAAAAATACGATAAGTAACCGAAAACATGGTGTAGATACGTAGATGATATTTTCATCATTGCGACAAATAACCTTATAGAGCTAGATAATTTCTGGATCATGTGAACAATGTCAAACCCATACCATAAAGTTCACTTTATGAATTGAATCGGACGATCAATTTCCATTTTTATTATGTTCTAAATAGAAAATGCCAGGTTTATCAGTTGATATTGAAAATAGAGCCTAGCAGTTTTCAAGAACCTGTTCTACTATCTATGACACTTGAGATGGCCTTATCAGATTTTGCATAACTGTTTCCGTTCATGAGATACAAGGCGATTTTGAAAATTCATACATTGTGGCCCCTTCTATATCTACGAAGTTATCAGGAATGAACTACGTCTAAAGGTCGTGACATGATGCAAAGAAATAAGAAATAGAGAATAAAGAGAACAGAGAATAAGGAATAAAGGATATAGGTAGATGTTATGAAGCTGGAATAGAGTTAAATATTGACCATTGAACAGCTTGCCAATGACGTTTGATACCAAAAGGTTAAAAATTCCGTCATGTACGGAAATATTATTTTTCAATTCTTATTCCTTATTCCTCATGATGTATTGTATGTTTCAAACGAGGTTTCAAAATATAATTATTAGATGTGTGGAGAATATTATTCTTTGTTTCCTGTTCTAAATGTTGAATTAGTTTTTTTTGTTTTTCATTATTTCGCATTGTGTCACGACCTGGGTAACTCCATTTTATGCCGAAATTGGGTTATTGTATTCAACATATAGATTTTTTTCTTGTGCATCTTTTGGTGCAAGAATCAAGCGAATCCAACGATTTCCTGTTAAGTTAACACGGGAAAGGATATACCTGATGAGCCATTGAGGTGCAAGAGTGGGGCAACTCCAGGAGTTACCCGATTTTAGCACTGAAATGTAAGCCATGACGGTGCTAGAGTCGGGCAACTCCAGGAGTTACCCGATTTTAGCACTGAAATGTAAGCCATGACGGTGCTAGAGTCGGGCAACTCCAGGAGTTACCCGATTTTAGCACCGAAATGTACGCGTGTAGTGGGAGATGTCGGAGTGAGGTTATTAGCGGCCAGCCTTCCCGCGTCTTCCATCGTGTGTGGCGTGATTAGTTTGATCATTTGTTTTATGCAATACAATGTAAAGTCGTCGGAAAGTGAAAGTGAGCCCTTTCAAGATTCGGGGAGTGAATTTGTTCCGAAAACATAACTGTTGATGAAGAGGACCCAAATTCTGGCAATGTTTACGAAGATCAAGACGCAGGAAACGTCAGCGACTCTTCCTTTATATGTTCAAAATACTATTTGTTTACAATATTTTTCTTTATATATTTCATTTTCGATAAGAAAGCAAAATTATTACACGGGTTCGACTATATTTTCCGAATTTTGTCCTTTTGGGACAAGAAACAGGCAACTCCATTTTTTCAAACTTCTTTTTTAGCTTCTACAATGTAAATGAAAATCAATATCTGAGTTAATACAGCTTATCTAACGTAACTCTGAAGGATTCATACCATTTAGCATAATTTTTCTCGATTTTCTCAGAAATATAATTTTTTTTCCATTTTTCAACATTTTAAAAAATTGGAGTTGCCCGGTTCTTGCACCGAGGTCTTCAATTGTTTTCCGAGGTATATGGTTTTGGGGATACGACAGAACTCACATTTTATTGCAACACCCTGTATTTCATCATACTATACTTCATCCATAAACTTAACCCGGTGCGGGAACACAATAAACCTACAGACAGTATTGAATAAAAATCCCTCGAATATTCCGTAAACCCAAGTTGATCCCTTTGTCAGCGCCGAGGTCAGCGCCTATGATGTAGATTATAAGAAAGAGAGTTGCCACGGGATGAATTTTTCAGTACTCTGTACTCTGTAGAATCGTCGTGGTAGAACAGAATTAGGAGATGATTGAGCAGTTTGAGGCTTTCCGCCATTTCATTACGGAAATGCAAAG